TAATACACTTCGGGTAAGCCGCTCGTCGTCTGTGAGCGGAATCGCTAAATCCAACCGCCGATCGCCATATACACCGGCCGAGACGACACGCGATTATAACTTCTGCGCCGAGGCATGCCTATAACGCGTAGTTTGCCCGTTTCTTCTTCGTACGCGATACACAATATGATATAAAAGTCTCGGCTGTCATACCGCATGTAACAGGTATAGGTATTAAATATATTATTATAGGTACACACACGCGGTGGTGACGACACGGAATAATATATTGTGCACGTTCGACTGCTGTTCGAGTCTATTAACTCCGACGTCAAGCGGAAAACGGCGGGCGGCCGTCGCGCGTAAATCTGTGAAGGTATTACAAACGTCGTCGTTTGATTTTTATTTTTCACTAGGTCCTAATAATAATTGCACAGTAATTGCACCTAAACATTATGTTATTATGTACGGTAGGTATAGTTTATAGTTTACTCACCAGCTGTGATTTGTATATTATACACAACATGCACCGCGACACGTGTTGATGTCATACACCTCTAGTTGTACTCCTGATAATTAATACATAAAACAATGCGTACAATAGTATTGTGAGTAATTAAAAAATTACGTTGTCCGATAAAAATAACCATTTAATAAATAATAATATTAACTATGTTATGTCCTCGGAAAGTATATTATTTATACTCTTCACTGTGACAGAGATCTTTGGCTTATAGTTTACAGTGAGAAGAACTATTAAGATGAGTCAACGAAAGAATTTATGTTATAAAAAACTTTCAACATTACATATTCGATATACCAATGTACATTATTTGAATAATCGCACACTGCGGGATACTTCAAACTCACACGTTGTCACGTTGAACATCACCCACACCTTGGCCACATGTACTTACATGGGGATATGGATATATATATATGTATGTAGCTGCTGCAACTAACTGTAAAATGCAAACTGAATGATTTCCAAAATATTTGAATATTTATCGTTTAATAATATTATGTACGATGTTGTAGTTCACTATTATTAAACGTCCTCAAATCGTTATGGCAGACGGACGGAGTAACGGACTCATACGCGCGATTATAAACTGTTTTCTATTCGTTGAAAACGACAATTTTCTTAAAAAATGTATTATAATAATATATTATATCCACGACATAATATAAACATTTAAATATTTAATGTTTTTTTATATGTGCGCGTGCGATGTCAGGTGATAATATTTTACTGTATTTTTCTAATACGTTTTTAAACGTAGCACAAATGATATGACATAGTGATGAATAAGAATCTCGGGATCTTGACGTCTAAAGCTTTTATGTTCGAAATTATTTTTATACAGTTTTGCATACTAGTCCATTTTGGGTAAAAACAACTCTTTCCCCTTATAAGGGTATATCAACATACCATAAAAATGAAATATATAATATTATGCGTTTTTCACTGTAATAATAATATATTGGTATATTATGACCAGATTGTTTTCAAATCAATAACAGCTGTTGAAATATCTTTGTGTGTAGGTAAACAAAAACATTTTTTAAAACGATGAGCCTTTAACGAATAAACGGATGCATATTGCATTGTAAAATGTATACTGCTGAATCACAATAATGATAATATATTAATCTTTAAATACTTCATGGCCGTTCACAAACTTTGTATAAATTGACAATATTTTTATATTGTTTTAAAATCTTAGTGTTTTTGTTTTTTTTTTTTAACGAGACGATGAAATCATTTTTAAGAATACCGCAAAAACGAGACGATATTTATAAACTATTGTTTCCACCGTCTTATGCATTATGGTCCGTACAGTATGGCCATGGACTGCTACGGTACTATGTAAAATGTATTATATTTTATGTAGACTTACGTAATATTTCAAAGCTACACAATTCTGTATACTGCTATAATATTATACGGATACATCGCAGAATTAATTTCTTTGTCTGTATTTACTGTAGACCAACAATGTTATATATCTGTATTACACCTACACAAATAGAAATTTTTATATTCCGATACAATATGTATATATATATATATATATCTTATGCTGTGCAATATGGCGTCTTGAATTCGTTTTTAATCTGTCAGCCAGCTGAGATTGGCGTATGACCGAAACCAGTGAGAATATTGAACATTTGCAAGGGAATAATAACTATTTTTCGGCGCATTGTCCGAAAAATTATTCATTTATTCTTGACAATAACCTCGGATTGGAGCCAAACTTGTGACGGTCAAACATGCACTAAATAGCTTCAACGCGATGCACTTTTAATTGTACAAACAAATTATCCACCACGAATAGTTGACAAAAATATCTCTGACATCTGTCGCACATTATTACTGGAATGCTTCCAGCTGCAGGTCATCGATGAAACAAGAAATTACTGTAGAACGAGTTCTCTCTATCTAAAATTTCAAAAAACCGCGACATTAGATATTATTTCTAATCCACGTTTAATAAATAGTCCCACCTATTAACAAACAAGGTTATAATTCTTATAAAAGTCGTAAAATTTGGTTTTCCTAAAAAATATTCATATAATCCAGAGACGTCAACTATACAACGTTAATAAAAGTTATGTTTGAGTATGATGCCAAATTGTATATTATGTACAGTTCTACATCCAGAAAGACTCATAAGGCAATATTATTATACTTTCAAACAAATTTGTTTTCACTGTTATATACAATAGTAAAAATTGTAAAACCCAATAATGGCAAAAATAAATAGGTAGTATAAATATGTATTCATTTATTTTTTAAATATCGACATAAAGTAAACGCAGCTGCACGTGGCTTTGTTTGTAACCGAAGTACTGAACTATGGTGCTCGCAGTTTGAACGCAAATACTAAAAACACCTAATGATCATAATCGAGGAAGGGTTGTAAAAATATATATGTTTAATCCAAACGATGATGATTGATGGGCGTATCAATAATATTATTACACTTTAAACAAATTGAACAGTTTGGAAATGTATATGGTATATGGGTATCTGCCATTTAAATACAAAACCCGTCTCGTTCACTTAGCCCACGTGGAATTAATAAGCCAATTAAAAAAATGATGATAAAACATAATATTATAATAGGTATACGAGATGTATTAAATATATAAATTTAAATAGTAAAAAGGCGTCAGATATTAAGAAAAACCATTATACTTTCATGACTATAATATTATAGCGACCGGTAAAGGGAGGAAACTCGAAATGTCAATGGCTCTTATATGCCGAATGAACCGGTTATTATAAGATACATATGGAATAATATTAGTAAAAACATCAAGATTTACTCGCATGGTATTTTTTTTTTCATAACGTACTGATGAGAGTATTTTTTTTTAATGGTTCAGAAACCAGTGAACGACGACACCTAATAATAATTAACAATGGTATTTTAGACCTCAAGTAAACTAAGAGAATAATTACTGCATCCTAAGTAGCAATAATGATCTGACGTAAAAATATAGTTACAACATACATAACATACATTAATAAAATAAAAATAGAGTTAATTTTTTCAACGAAAAAAATGTAATTAATCATTATTTACAACATAATAATATTGTGTCTTATGCAATAGAGATACATTGAGAATTTATATTATTGAATATTAATTTTGTAATATCCATATCATACAATGCATGCAATGTCATAATCAATTGAATATTGAAATTTTGATTGAATTTAAGATGACTAATTTGTGATTGGTAATTACAGTGTATTCAATACTCAACATATTAAAATAAATGTTTGCATTTATACCTACATTTAATGATAATTTTTTATGAATGTTAAAAATTGAATGAATTCAAATAAAAATGAAACACTTATTTTTTTTAAATTTAAATATACACATTTGTGTACATTTATATCTATATCGGATATCGTATTATTAATATATGATCATATGTTCGATTTTAACATTTTACTTAAACTTTCAAAGAGTCCATAGTTGATATTACTATAGCTACAGCCTATAAGTTAATAAAATGTTTGTATTTGATATTGACAAACACATTTTTTGTAGTCTTTACACCTCTAAAACGTTTAAGTGTTTACTGAATTATTATTATTATTATTATAAAACACTTCTCACTTACATGTTTAAAGTCGTAAAAGCGGGCCATTTCTCAAAACGCATTAAGTACTGAAATACTGAATACTTTATATATCTATGCTTATTTTTCTGCGCAAACGATAATTAAATAATACAATAAGATACACGTCTAACAATGAATAATAATACTCGTATCTCGTTTACGCTATTTTCCAAGTCAAATTAATAAATCTGATAAAACGGCGAGGGACATATAATATATATAGGTTAGGTTATATATATATATTAGTATATTACTTCAGTAGGTATATCATATTATATATTTGGTACCTATCTATTCTCGATGAATAAAATAAAGAATAGCAACACGGTTTTATTTTTTTACTCGAATCAATAGGAAATTTTTTAGTTACGGAATTCACTCAACCGTTCAAAAACTTGGACCAACGTTGTTGGAAAAAAAACTTTTTCTCTTCGTACATGTCAACTATATTCCAATGTCTCACACTAATCGACGTTACTTACAACCCGTAAGATCCTCTTCACACATGCGATATAATATATTGGTTTGTATAAATGTTTTTTTGTAACTCGTTTTTTTTCCCTCTACAAACTGCATTCCAGAATTCTTCGGCCCATTTCGATTGCTGTACAGTATTACATTCTGCACTCTGTAGCCACAGCGTGATGACAATGAATACTGGACAAATCCATGAAATTACGACGCTCTTAAACACATACGAATCGTGTGATTTTAAATCCAACTAAAGGTTGACTGTTGTCTTGTATAATATTTATCAGGGGGCTTGGAAAAGTGGACGAATGGCCTACACGTGCATCGCAAACACAACTATAATACTATTATTGTACTATTTGTACTTACTACTTAGTCGATTCTATTAAAGTAGAGATATTGATATAATGTTCGTAAAGAGAATAAAAACTCGGTGGCCAATGATTAAATGCTTTGTTGTTCGGCTGGATGATATTACACGCAGCGGCTTTAGACGACTGTGGATAAAGCTATTTGTCTCAAAATTACCAAATAAATCCGGTCACCGAGATGCATTGGACCATAAAAAGAGAAAAATTAGAGGGACTCGAGGTGCCTGGATGAAATATAGTAGAGAACCAGTATCGCCGTTAAAGAGCATGACAAGTGATTAACGTGGACAATTGATTGGAAAAATGAATCGTTTTCTACATTATGTTTTGTGATTTCATTGTGAAGTCAATAAGACATTTTTAGAATAATATAACTAGATCGCATAATTTTTATCTGAACTACAGCATTATCTTAGGCGTATGTATGTATGTATGCGTTTAATTGTTTAAGTTTAAAATATTTAAATTAATTAATAATGTTTTTTTCTGAGTCCGGATCGTTTAACCTATATAAAGATTAAACACGATTAATCATTGCATGTGATTAAAAATTAATAATAAAAAAAAATTAGTCGTATTTACTTATATACCTCTACAATATTCTACATACTTCGATTATACAAGAAACAAAGTACTTAATCTACATTCAATAATGATAATGTCGTTTAATAAAACTGAATCATGATACAAAATATATACCTATATATTAAATATAATAAATAATAACCATGTTAGAACAAACTCGACCAGCATCCTGAGTGTATTATTATTACTATTAAATGCACTTTGCGGAAAGGTACAGTGAATTATTAGAACAACAAAAACTGGTTATCATCGATCAGTCAATGCATTATTTGCAACCGCTACAAACAGAAAAATACGATTAAATTGAAATATCAAATATTACTTTATCAACGTAATAATAAAAGTGTACAATTTATGTCCGTGATAAAAATGCAATTAAAAAATATATTGTAATTTCTAATATAATATTTCCTGATTGACACTTAATGGAAAACTGTCGAAATAATAATTTACAGATAGGTATAATATAGCGATTATAATCTATAACATTGTAGTAGGTAAGTACTATATAAAAAAAAACACTATTTTCTCAAGTAAAACGACGATGATATTATTATAATTATATATGGTAGTAAAATAATTTTTAACAGTCCTACACATTTACTTTAAAAAACCTATATAATACAACTTTCATAGAACCTCTTAAATAAGAAAATCAATTTTCAATGTAGAAAATATTATTTAATAATGTTATATCTACATTAGTATAATTATTTAACGATATTGATAATTTTCTGTTTAGTGACCATAGATATATACAACAACTTCTTGTCGTCGAAGTCGGCCGCCATTTACAAAGCAGGCAATGTTTACAAAATAATATTATCATAGTATATATGTATAGATAAATATATATGTATTATAAATAAATGTAAATATTGCCTGCTTTGTAAATGCCGATTTCAATATTGGTCATAACTGTAATATAATTACGACTATCTAGTATTCTAGTTGTTGTATATATCTATGTTAGTGACTGAGTGCCTAATACAATTAATATAAATACAACTATACAAGTTAATAATTTAATTTGACGTATTCAAAAACAATTGATTTTAGTTTATAACAAAAATACCAATGTTCAATATACGGATACACTAGGTTTGACTGAACAGTGAACACAATTAATTTTATACTTGAAAATGAAAGTATTAATCAGTAATAATAGATGCCTACTATCCTACTATAATATTGTATAATATAATATAATTCCTTCGCAAGTATTACGACTTACCTACATGTAAAATGTTCAATTACTTTTTAATCAAATTAGTAATTATTAATTACTTGAACATTGTATTCTCAAAAATATAAATTTTACTCTTCACATATTGATATAAATATAATATACCTAAATCACAGGTGGCATAAATTCTGACAATTCAAATCACAAGAGTTAGCTTCAAAAATTAATCCTAACCATATTTATTTCCATTAAAATGTGAAGGCTATTTAAATACAAAATATGCTGGGCACATAATATGGTTCGTTAACTAGCTTATTATAAGTATTATATTATAATATTATACTGAGTTCATAGCTTACCCAGAACTGTAAAATCAAATAAAATGAAAGAGATGGCTAACTACTGTGCTATCATTCAAAACCAATTAACATTATTATTATGTCAAATACAACTTAATTTCATTTGACCTGCAGTTAGACTAGACGAAAATTCTGCAAAATATTTTTCGTGTTATAATATTAAATTTATATCATTTACGACGTATAAAATAATATTTGTAGACTTGTTTTCCCTATCTAAAAAATTCTTATATTCGTTTAATCGTCGTTAGTGACGATATTGTTTACGATTTTTTAGAATCGTCACATCATTGTAATCGTTGACATCTGGAAACAAATACTTTTTGATAAATTATATAAGATTTGAGTACGAAATATTCTCCTCGTCTTTGTTTAATTATTTTACCATGATCAATTATTGGCAACAACTTTCACAATCTAAATATCTAATAGAAACGATTATTAGTTGTTATAAAGTCGATTGGTTTTATAAAAAAACGAGATGTACGAGTTTCGGCAAGTCTTTATAGTTTATTTTTTATTTTATTTTTTTTTTTTTAGTTGGGTTTACGATATATTAATATCCTTGGCTGTCATAATTGGCTATACGCGATTTTTTTTTTAACCAAACTAAATTTGCAACAATATAATAACGCGTTTGGTCAAGATAAACTATTTAATTTTATGGATGCCCCTAAGGGCTTTCGGAAGTTTACAAGAGTGTCACAATTAAATGTTCACCATAGAAAGCATATTAACTCAGATTTTTATCAGTCCTAATATAAATTAATAATAAATCTCGGCTCTTTTTATTTGATATTCATGTGCATTTTATTTTTTCTATTTCATTATTGTGTAGCGATTATATATATAAGTTTAACGATAACGCTAATGATTTAAAATACTTTTTTTGTGACTATCGGATATTTTACTGTAACGCTAAAGTGCATACCGATTTTAAATATTATATTATTCTTTAAATAGGTAGTGTCTAATAATGAATCTACGAATTTGAAAATAAAAAAGATAGTTTTTCACGTTTTCTACATAATTGCATGTCTGTAGGAAACGAATTCAAAAGTCTTTTTTTCAACTGCTGCGAGTCATGTTAAAACGATGTAATATAACTACAAAATACATCTACTGTTCATTACAGTTTTGCTGCAGGTGGTACGCATCACAATCGTTTAATTAACAGCCGAGCTTTTTTTCGTCATTAATAAATTCAGGAAAACGTATTTTCCGGTAACGTTTCTTGTCAAAAAGTTAAATCTATATATTATTATTATTATTACTATTAAATTAGCGTCGTTATAAACTTATATATATAATATGCATGCGCATTCGTACCTATAGTTCGTCTTAATAAACTCAAAGGAATAACATCAGAACACTACTTGTTTGCTAACCCGCCTGCCGAAATCCCAATGCGTAGATATACATATAGATATATTATAGCGTACTTATACTATAATATGTTCGTTCAGGATTTTCAGTTGTCGAGAAAAAAAAATTATTTTTTTTCGCTTACTAAAATCAATTTATCGACGCGGACAGTGTCGCAACAAAAACTGTTGTCGAAATATTACTATGGACCGATAAAATATTATATTATACGACGTCATCATCACTGTTGTATAGCATCGCGGATATAATACTATACGGTCAGCCGTACCTATAATCTATATACATATATATAAAATATATCACAGCACATCAGTATTCTGTCGTAATCGTCGTCGTCGCCGTTGTCGTCGTCGGAAAAACACATTACACGTCGGCGGAATTTATCCGCGATAGACGAACGAATATCATAGTCGTCGGTGCAGAGGCTCCGGATATAATATAATATGATATATATATCATTATCAAAGTTTATTTTATTTTATCCTTTGAAAGTTTTCCTGTCCGTTGGGCGACCGATTCCGCTGTCGGACACGATGACATAATAATACATATATATCGCCATACTATAAAATAATATGGATACTGTCTATTCTTATTCTTATGTACAGTATGGATACGTGTATCGTGTATGACGACGATGAAGACGAAAGGTTATCGGAAGTCCGCTTATAAAACGTACCTATCATTATTATTGACTATTTTGTCATTAGTTGTCTGTGACTCCGAGGCGGCTCTGTTACCAGCATCACCGAAGGTACATTACATAATATGTGATATTATTATAATTATTATTGTTGTTATTATTATGTATTCGTAGGTGTGTAATAAGACGTTATGTACCTAATTGTAGAACGCGATTGAACAAACCTGTTGTTTTGTGCGTCTATTCTTATATTACCTACATTAAGTTCTGATAGGAACGATCTATAGGACTTGATAATATCATACCATAGATGCCGAAAAAATATAATAATCGTTGGTCTTACAATATTATTATATAAAATTACAATTATCTCGTGTGTTTACCTCATTCGGTGGACACGTGTTTATATAATTTTTTATATACTTCGATATCCTCGTCCCCGGCCAAACGGTGAAAAATTACCACGAAATAAACGAACTAAACGACGAACAAGACAAATCAACGATACCGACGCGTATAACAGGTAGGTACTAGGTGATTGCAAAAAAAAGTGTAAATAATATTACAGCGAAACGGCCGATGCGAACGTCCTAAACCGCGAAAAAAAAACCGTTTTTTCCGTTAAAAAATCGCGGGCTACGAAGAAATCGGGACGATTGATTTAAATATTTTTTTTTGAAACGAACAAATGAAATTACACTTTTCACGCCGACGAGAGTTTTATTTCGGCGGCGAAAGCGGCGGCGGAGAAACGTCTGTTCGAGCGCACACCACGTGCGTCGTACTGACAATAAAGCGCCGCGGCCGGAATCCTATACGAACGACCATCGTCTTCGTGTACTGACTCCGCGCGGCGGCGGCGGCGGCGGCTGTGGGTCCGCCTTTTTTCCGTTTTCGCGACCATCACGTCGACGTCGACATCCCCTCCGCCACCGCCGCGGCGGTTATTGTTAATTTTCGTTTTAAAAAAATACGTAATAGTAGATATTAAATAATGATAATAATAATAATATTATTATTAACATGTGTTTTTTTTATATAAGTGTGAAACGATTAAATTGTTATATAGGTATACTATAGTCTATAGGTTTACAAAAAATATATTGACCAGCACATAATATAT